ATGTTCCAGAAAGAATTATTTTACACTCAGATTTGCACCTTTATGTGGAATTTGTTCATCATTATCATAAGATCTGTTTCTAGCTACATTTTATATTAATCAAGACATATATGAAAAATACCTGTACATTTACAGCACAAATATAGGGCTATTGGGACTGGGCTACCATTCCTTATTCCACTGGCACTCAGGAAGAAGCCAATATAGTTTGAAGACATCTGTCTGTTCCTTTATCAAAAATAGATTAGTCTTATCAAAGCAATGGGATTTCATAAAGCCATGCTGTGGCACAACCTTAAAACCCAGTCTTCTCAACCCTGCAGAACATCTTAGGAGCAAAAAACATAAAATGGAATTTAGCCAGATTGACTGCTTTCGTTATTGCTCTTCTTGTTTTCTTACTTCTTCAGGAAGAAGATGCAGCTCGTGACAGCCGGTTTAACTTTGGTGGCTATGGGATGGGGCACTGCCTGCAGGTCAAGGATGGGACCACCGTTAAAGCCACCCCCCCCAATCCTCCACCACCTCCCGTGCCAAAAGATTCAGATTCCATCAAAAAGAAATTTGTGGACCGTGCCAAAAGGATTGATACAATATCCCGAGCTGCATTCCCACTTGCCTTTCTCATCTTCAACATATTTTACTGGATCACATACAAAATTATACGTCATGAGGATATTCACAAAAAATAATTCTTTGCGAGCTGGGATTTCTAGCCAAAGTGACTTCCTTGTAAATAGTGAAGTGTCTTTTCTGTCCTTGGCACTGAAGGTTTGTTGTCTTGTGATGCTAAACAAGTAAGGGGGGAACAGTAACCATTGCACAAAACAAGATACATTGATAAGATTGCAAAATGGGGAGGTACTCTCTACGTGGTTCTTCCAGTACTCTTGCCAAGATCACATCCAAGCAGGGCACATTTGTTCCAAGTTGTCAGTGTCTTTCAGCTCTATTTAAGGAATTCTTAAAAGCGTATGTCATGGGATGGTCTGTAATGGCTGCACTGCAGTGAGTTTTAAGAGGACCAAATTTTTTTTCAGGTAACACTGCCTTCCTTTAGGAAACAAATATCTACTAAGCTACATTCCATTAATGTCTCTAGTTAATTATTAGCCCAGAAGTCCCTTTGTCAATGGTAAATTATTTCTACCAACAGGGCATGGGAAGAAGAGCTTTATACTTTAATATCTTTATGGGTGTACATTTTAATATTCTTGCTTTTTTTAGAACTGAGGTCCAACTTGTACAGGCTGTGATTAATTTCACTGCTTGCAACTGTAGAAATGGCCTGTGCTATGGATAATTTTCTTGTTTTAGGATGGTGCACTCATTTCAATTTAGTTAGTTAGTTTTTTTTTAATTAACTACATGCAGCATTAGGTACCGAACTGTACTTTACCTATCATAATTCATACATCACACTGTTGATTAAGAACCTGTGTCCAAGAGTAGCGCAGTTTAGCATTGAATTTCTAATACTGATCTCCTTGTAGTTGCAAGTTGATAGCTCTGTAGGTAAACATGATTGTTTACAGACCTTGAATTTATATCTTTACTAAAAAAAAAAAAAGGTGGCTATCATTTTAAATATCATTAACTTACTAAAGAGTTTTAAACTGTACTGTGATTTTCATAACCTGTTAACCTTTTGGTGCCAGCGCTATGTGGTCTAAATCCTTGCTATGTGTTTTAAAGTACATATTTAAAAAAAAAAATCAATTTAAAAGAGCAAACAGAAAATGGAGGTATTTTTGCTTACCCAGAAAAAGACAACCTGTAATATTTAAAACAAAGCAAACATTAAGATTTTACATTGCTGTAAAAACAATTTATTACAGAAAAGGTAATTGTTCAATTTCAATAAAGCTAAGTGTATAATTGATTTTTGTTCATTATTCTTTCCTACTCTGCAGTCCCCAGATGATCATGCTTCAGGTCAGCTGTAATTTTGTTAGTATGGATTTTGGTATTTAAATTTTAACTTTCATGTGTTGATACCTTATAAGTCACTTGGAATCTTTGGAATGGAGTGACATATAAACCAAGGTAATACATAAATTGCTGTTTTTCTCATTGCAAGATAGTAATACAACGTACAAACCATCAGAGGTACAAATACAAGAAAACTTCTCACTGTCTTACAAAAGGCTTTTTCGTATAGAAAAGTACAAACTGAAAAAAAAAATGCATAGCTTATTAATTGGTATAACAGTACCAAAGAAACCTGGGATTATAGTTGTTGAAAAGCCTTTACTGCCTGAAATGTGTACTTAAAACTCAGTTTTTATATGGGAAGTATTAGTAATAATTCTTGGACAGCTGGGGAAGGGTATTTATTCTTTTCTTACTGTTTTGTATTCAAACAGTCTTGTTCAGACCCTACCTTTTATTAAAGCTGTTACCATCGATTGCAACAAATGAAATTTATTACCAGCCAAATAACAATATATTTATTTCAAATTAAATGTGTTCATTCATTACCCTACTTCTCAATACTCTGCTGGTTAATGATTCATTGATAAATGCTTATAAACAAGTCGAATAATTATTTAAGTGAAATGTTAGCATCAAGATTCTTTGACTTTTTGGCAATGTGCCTTCAAAAACACAGTATGGAATAAAAATTTGGGTAGTCATGAGTGTAGTGGATTTAGTTGAGATAATACTGGGGGCTGGCGGGACTAAGCACCCATCAAAGGTCTCAGCATCAGCAGAGGGGATACTCAGAACACTCTGCTGTTCAGACTCACTCTTGTTAACTGGCTGAGCAACAGTAAGAACCATGTCCTCCTGAGAAGCCACCACAATTACAACGAGGAACATGGGAACCCTGTTGGGGCTATCACACCCTAAGAATCGCAAAACAAAATGCATTTGTGATAGCAGGAGTATCATATTTCAACTCTAAAACTCTGGATGTTGAGAGTTTTCAGTCTTTCTTTGCTGCTCTCTGGATTTTTGCAGCCCAGGTATAGTAGCTGGATTAATGGGCAATCAGAAGTTGGGAATCTTTCCCTTGAAAACAGGAAAGGGATTCCCAGAAGAAAAGGAAGAAGAAATATCCTCTGAGAAACCTAAGTACATAAACACTCTCTTGAAAGAACAGGCCTTGATGGAAGCAAAAGAAAGACAGGTGATGCAGCCAACTTCAGAATTCACTTGCAGGAAGCAGCAGTGCTCAGTGAAATACTATAATGATCAGAGACTCTTCTCTATAGATAAGCTAGGATTGAAACTCCTAGAATTCCTTAGCCAGCATGGCCTCCAGCTAGGAATTCTGGGATTTTCAGTTAAAACATACCTGGACGACATCAGGTCGGTGGAAGTGTTTGTACCTGCCAATCTCTCTCAATGATATAACTTCAGAAGTAAATGCTTAACTAACTGATCAGAAAAACAAAACTATAACAATGCAGCTGCTGTGAATGTTGAGGTGTTGTCTCTTGAGTTATACATTTAAAAAAAAAGAAAAAAGAAAAATACATATCCTGCCTGAAAGTAATGCCTGCTGACGTTCCCACTTGGGCACTCCTGTTAACAGTGCAGGAGTAATTCAGTGATTTCTCTCTCCCTGCTCCCCCAATCTGGCCACCTTAAATAGGACTGTAATTCAGATGTTTTCCTTGGTTGATTTACTCTGATGATAGTGATTGTTGAAAATTGTTATGGGCTGTCGTGCAAGGAATAATGTAGGCTGCACCAGTCAGCCTAGTGTGAACAGAATCTTTAATTATATCATTACAAATCTCTGATATAAGTAGTTTTTGTTTGCTGTTAAATGATATGGAAGTTTGTTTTTTATTTGCAGTATTTTCAACAGATATGCAAAAAGGAACATAGCTCAACAGGGATGTATTAATGGGAATTTCATGCATGATTCTTTGTATGAAACTTCATTCATGTGCATAAAATTGTGTAGAAAGTAATAAAGGAATAGTGTTTTCTAAAAAAAGACAATAGCATGTTTTTCACCACTCCAAAGGAAATGTGAAATATTAGTCAGAGCTACGAGACTTCACAGTTTGATGTTATTCCACTTAGATTTTTCTAACCCTTCATCTTGAATACAAATCAAGTTTTGTGAAAGCAAGCCTTTAGGCATATTACACCCACAACAAATTTCCCATAATGCATCAGGCACAGCTATCAAGGAGATCATTAGAAGCCTTGCTTCTTTATGTTGACAATATTTTTGACAAGGCTGATTAGAAAAACTTCAGTTTAGCTAAGTTGGATTTTTTTTTATTACTATACAGGCAGGGATAATGTCATCCAACCATTCCCAATCTGGCACCTTCCAAGTATGCCAGGATCACCACTCCAATAATGCCCAACCAAAGACCACCAGATGGGGGAAGACTGATCTAAAAAATCTTGCTTGTATCTGTAGAAACAGATGGTGTTATGGTAAAGGTTTTTCAAATAGAACAAATCCATTCAAAACTCATTTCAGAAAATGAGCCAATTTGGTGTAGTGGTTAAGCACTGGACTAGAGACTGGGAGACTGTGAATACTAGTCCCACCTTAGGCACAAAGTCAGCTGGGTGACCTTGGACCAGTCGTACTCTCTCAGCCCTAGGAAGAAGGCAATGGCAAACCACTTCTGAAATCTTTCCAAGAAAGCTAGTTCAGGCAGTCACCAGGAGTCAACTCTGACTTGCAGGCACCAAAAAAAAAAAAAAAA